GCCCCTACTCCTCCGCCTCCTCACCCTGCACATAGCAAGTTTCAGATGTTCAGAATAGTGAGATGATTCCATACAAAGTAGAATAGTTGTACTTGGCAATGCACACTAGCTAACAGAATGCCCACAATAAATATTTTGGCTAAACTACTTTCCTTGACAGCTTTACAAATTACAACAATGATTCATCTGATATTTCTAGAGGAATCCACCCAACCCATGTTGCTTGGAACAGAACCCCAAGCTCCTTCCTTATGTAACAACCTGAAGTAAGTTTGCATGATGCAGATTTGTACAATTTCCAGATTAAACGAACTCCTTGTGTACATTAACGGATTAATTAACAGTCCATTCATGTGCTGATTATCTAGACTACATTAAGGCACCCAATTAAACAAGCAAGGCCATGAATCTGGCACGGGCAGACCCGGAACAACACCAACGGCGGGAGGCGCGCCGCCGCAAGGAATCAAAGCAGTGATCTTAACCAGTCTGTCATTGAAACCGTAGCAGACTCGGTGGTGCGAGACCGTGATTCCAGCATTTACCGCTTCAGCTAACGACCTGGATGATGAACAAAACAAAAAGGGGAGCAGATATCATCATCAAACTTGGAACAACTGGAAAGTAGAAACAAAAAAAGAGGAAACATGAAGAAGAGATATCATCAAATCCGGCTAGGCTATGCTCCCGTTCCAAATAGTAGAAGTGTAGAACTGAAGCTGGAATGCACAGCAGCAGCCAGCAGCACTGTTGGAGCAGCTATATACAGATAAAAGCCAGGGACACCCGCATTGCATTTCAGCAAAGCCAATAGGGAGAAAAGCAGAGCAGAGCAGAGCATACTTGATGAGCGTGCCTCCTTTGCCGATGAGCACGCCGCAGCAGGCGTAGGGCACCACCAGCACCACCGTGTTGTCGGCATGGTCGCCTTGCAACCACAAACAAAGGATTGGAGTCTCTGAATCAAACCACAGCCGAAGCAAACCAACTGTAAGATCATCAACTGTAAAAGAACATTTACAGTAACTCTGAAGAAATGTTGAGCCTTTTTTTGTACAGTACAGAGAACAGAGGAGGGGTCTGAACATTCACTACTTCAAGTAGGAGTACCTGGTAGCGGATCTTGTGGAGGAGGAGCTCGGCGGCATCCATGACGGCGCGGAAGGGGCCGGAGAGGTAGGCTCATGGTTCCTTGAGCAGCTGAGTCAGGCGAAGACGCGCCCAGAGCCGGGCTGGCCCTGCGCGACGCGGCGGAAGGCGGAGGCGATGCCGGCGAGGCCGGAGCTGATGAGCGCGTCGAGCTCGTCGGCCACCAGCTGCAGGTCGGGGATGGGCGGCGCGGGGTGGCCGAGGAGGCGCGCAGCCCTGGACCACGCGTACAGCACGACCAGAAGGAGGAAGAGCATGTCGGCGGCCAGTGACACGGCCGTGTAACCGGAGGCGCCATGGAATAGGATCCAGGAGGCGACGACGGTCGCTAGGAGTAGGGCGCTCAGGTCGGCCCGGCCTCGGCGCCACAACACCATATCTACGGTGAGGGTCGTTGACAGGGGGGTGGGTTTGGGGGCGGCGGCGGATCGAGATCTGAGGGAGGGAGAGGGCGGCGGCTGTGGGTGCGTAGGAGAGAGGGGGAGGAGAGGACGAGTGGTGCAGGTTGTGTTAGGGCTAGTTGGGTGAGACGGTGAGGGGGTCAAGTGTGCCGTTGGATCCGGGACGATCGGACGGTTCAGATCGCCTAAGGTAGGGTGATCCGGGGGAGATGTCCTGATTGATTAGAGTTCCAGGTGTAATTTAAAATATAGTCCCTAAGTGCTAAAAACAAAGGGGTTTATGAAGCAACTATCAATAATATTTTGCAAAATGGAACTACTAAAATTTTCACTCAAGTTATACCACATTTTATGGATGATAACCAACTTGTATGCATTTCCGATCATTCTAGCCTTTTTTGGCCATTTAAACCAACTTGTACCAAATCAGGAGGAACCGGGTCAAATTTAAACTACAATAACTTCATAGTTTGCTCATAGTTTTTTCCAAAAAACATTTTTAGGTACACATGTATATATTTCATCACAGAACACTATGAGTTTTGTAAGATTCCACCCGCAGCAACGAACAGTTATGCCCATGGTTTTAACCGCGTTTTGAAATTGGCATACAGAATTAAAGAAACCAAAAAATGGAAAGCCTTTGCATTGTGTCATTATATGTGATCTAGTGTCTAGGGTGCATCTTGGAGTGGCAAACAATGTTGCCTAAGGAATTTTTCATTTCCTTTGGATGAAAAAACAATTTTCCATTTTTCGAGTGCCCGAAATGAGGTTTTTTCGTGAAGGACCTGCCATATATTTGTTGCAAAATTGTACCAAATGAATTTTTTAAAATACTAGGACATATTTAATGCACAATTGACCAAATGGTTTGGTGTAAAAAGTTTTGATCCACCTCTCGTGAAAAAGACAAATTCCCGCCGATTCAGTTGGAAGCGGGTCAAATTTGAACTGTAGCTACCTCGTAGTTTGCTCTTTAATTTTTCCAAAAATCATTTATATGTAGATAAGTATCTATTTAATAAAAGAAACACCAAAAAAATTCCAAGATTCAACCACTAGCTAGGAACTGTCAAGCCCGTCGTTTTGACCGCATTTTGAAATGGGCATACAAAATTAAAAAAAAATCAAAAAATTGGAAAACCTTCGCATTGTGTCATTATATGTGACCAAGTTTCCAGGAAAAATAATGAACTTGAAATACGACAATTATTTTAAAAATTGTTCTCAGAAACGAGCTACCATGTGTGGAGATCAATACCTTTCAAGCTAGATGATCAATCTTATGGCCATGTTCATGGCATAGTTTGTTCAAATGATCTCATATTCTGCGCAAGGGTGCATATTGGAATGGCAAACAATGTCGCCTAAGGGAGTTTTCATTTTCTTTGCACGGAAAATTCGTTTTCCATTTTTCGAGTGCCCGAAATGAGTTTATTTTGTGAAGGACCTACAATATATTTATTGCAAAATTGGACCAAAACAATTTTCTAAAATACTAGGCCATATTTAATGCACAATTGACCAAATGGTTGGGTTTCAAAAGTTTTTATCCACCTCTCGTGAAAAAGACAAATTTTCGTCGATTCAGTAGGAAGCGGGTCAAATTTGAACTGTGGCGGCCTCATAGTTTGCTCTTTATTTTTTCAAAAAATCATTTATAGGTACATAAGTATCTATTTAATAAGAGAAACATCAAAAGTTTTCCAAAATTCAACCACTAGCTAGGAACGGTCAAGCCCGCCGTTTTAACCGCATTTTGAAACGGGCATAAAAAATTCAAAAAAAATCAAAAATAGGGAAAACCTTCGCATTGTGTCATTATATGTGACCAAGTTTCTAGGAAAAATAATAAACTTGTAATACGGCAATTATTTTAAAAAAGTGTTCTCAGAAATGAGCTATCATGCATGAAGATTCACGGCTTTCAAGCCAAATGATCAATCTTATGGCCACATTCATGGCATAGTTTGTTCAAATGATCTCATACTGTGCACAAGGGTGCATCTTGGAATTCTAAACAATGTTGCCTAAGGGAGTTTTCATTTTCTTTGCACGGAAAATACATTTTCCATTTTCCGAGTGCCCGAGATGAGTTTTTTTGTGAAGGACCTACCATATATTTGTTGCAAAATTGGACCAAATCAATTTCCTAAATTACTAGGCCATATTTAATGCACAATTGAAAAAATAGTTGTGCATCAAAAGTTTTGATCCACCTCTAGTGAAAAAGACAAATTCCTGCCGATTTAGTAGGAAGCGGGTCAAATTTGAACTACAGCTGCCTCATAGTTTACTATTTATTTTTTCCAAAAATCATTTATAGTTACATAAGTACCTATTTAATCATAAATACATGGTTTGGTGGAGATACGTCGAGGTTTGGGTGGTGGCCGAGGCCCTCAACTCTAGAGCGCGTAAACTCGCATGCCCGCCGCGTGGTCACCGCGTGACCGTGGCGTTGCCATGTGTTCTGGGCAGCCTAGGCATGTCTAGTGGGTTGGGCACTCCCCAGGTAGGTGCTAGGAAGAAAATTACAACATAAGATTCTCACGAGGAGACCGATCGATGCTCAAACATGAATTAGCAACTAAGTGTTTAATTAGCGGTACGGGAAATGTACATGGCTAATGGGCGTGAGTTTTGGCTGAGGATGATCAGTTACTAAGAAGACCGTCTTCAGAAATTTTCAGCTCAAAAGGAGGAGCCTAGGTGGTACTTGCTTTGCAAACTACCACACTGGACATAAATACGAATGTTGAAACTCGGCTCAAAATAATGAATGGATTGAGATAGCATTTGGTTGAGGATGGTTGTTTGGGCATAGGAAAGCACTGTAGAAAATGGATACTATTTGGACATGCCAAAGTGGTACTTCCTTCACAAACTGTTGTTCTGAACAGAATAGGAAAATGAATTATTTTTTAACTAGGCAAGGAAGGTTTTTTTACATATTTGACGAAGATATGACCCAAAGAATTTATGAGATTTTTTTGAGAATTTTGGGAATGACAGAAATATAGGTTGCTTCACAACCTAGGGCAAAAACTGCCACATGAACATGACACATAGGCAACTGATGAGGTGGCGCCTAGTCATAGCAACCCACCACAATTTACAAGGTTATGACCATCTATATTGGTCATGATCAGCTAGAAATAAGGCAGCAGACCAGTGCTATCTGCTTTATGACCATTTCGTGTAAGGAAATTACGACCTTTCTGACCAAAATGGTCGTTATAGTTTAGAGTTTGGAGCCCCCCGAACAGCTTTTGACCAATTGGTCTGAAATGGTCATAGATCTATGACCAATTCTTCCAGGGGCACTGACAGAAGGTCACTAGTCGACATATTTCTTATAGTGCGCCCTGTATCTTTGACGTGGGAAAACACAAATTCGAGGGCACTCTTTATCGATCACACATCCACACACTTCATCACTGTTTTCGATTCTATTGATATCTCACGTCGATGATCCCTCCAATTTCTTCTCGTGGATCGCTCCCTCTATATATGATATATGCATGCCTCTGTTTCACACACATTGCATATATTACACGTAAATGCATGTAAAGAAGAGGAGCACGCACGACACACATACTCACGTCTCGTTCCCGGCCACACCTGCGCGGGTGCACAGTGAAGCTCATTTCTGTACGAAAAGGCAGACCACGTGATAATTTGACGCGTCAATACTGCAGGATGCTGCTAATGCGACACTACGATCAGAGACCATTTTGACGAAACTGTGTGCGATGCATTAATTGCAAACGGTGATGTAAAAACCCGTCAAAAAAGATGCGAAACATTTGCTACAGAGATATCGAACACGGTTCCGATTTTAGTTGTGTGTGCGATGTAGGGCACACGGTTGATCCATGCGGATTGTTTGCGATGAGACAGAACAATAGAAACGGGCGTCTGTATCATGGCGTGTGCAATATATGACATGCAATTAACTCAGATGAACTGTTTGCTATTAGGGAGTGCAACAGAAACGTGTAGCCAAATCAAGGTATGTGTGATATACATCATACGGTTCACTCAGACGAACTGTTTTTGATTAGGGAACACAACAGAAATGGTTCAACTTAACAAGATATGTGTGATATGCGGCATATAGTTCACATAGATGAACTGTTTGCGATGAGCCAAAAGAACACAAACAAGTCATGTAAACAAGATGTGTGTAACATGCGGCAAACAGCTGACTCGGATGCACGGTTTGCGAGAAGAAATTACAACACAGACAGTTACTACAGTTAATTCGTGTGCCAGTATGTGTGTACAAAAGACTTTGAAAATTACAAACTAGTTGCTTGCGGTGTCTAGGAGTATCTCACATGATGCGTCTGCGAGTACTCGTGTGCGATGATTAATAAGTTACACATATGTTTCCTTATGTTAACACATGTGTAAATTTGCAATATGGATAGTTAATATGCAAATGCCTTTTGGACATCGGGCACACGCTTAAACTCAATGAACTATGTATGATACTAATACTTTCCATGAAAATTTAAGAACTTGGCTAACAGCATTTGAGTAACATATATATAGTGGTTACACTATTCGACTAAAGGAGGATCTTCATAACACGGTTTTGACAACCATATGGCCCATATCTACATACTTAACATAGTAACAACTATCACATTTTAAGAGGCTGAGGGCCAACAACCATATGGTCCATATCTACATACTTAATATAGTGACATATAGCACATTTTAAGAGGCTGAGGGCCAACGACCACAACTATCCGCTGGAAGCAGCTTGATCATGGCGACTCGACATCTCGTCAATGAAAATGAAGATCCCACATGTGCCTTGGTAGAGCATGAGTAGAATCGTGTCTCCAATTTTCCAATATGGATGCATTGCATTGCCATGACAAGCGAGAACTTATTAATTTAAATGGTTCCATTTCTGCGGGAAATGCAGTACCTTGCAATCACTTTGGCGTTATTAGCAG